ATGAAAAAAAAAACTTTTCAATTCGACCAGTTTTCGCGAAGTACGCTTATTTGAAATTCGCCAAATTTTGATGTAAATTTCTTGTTGCGTTAATTTTTTTGACCAGTGTATTTCTGAAGCGTCTCAGTTAGCTTCTCGTACGTTTCTGTACTAGGTTTAGTCGGTGCTATTTCATTCTTGAGCACACTATATGCACTAGGCCCAAGGTGATGTAGCAAATAAGCCACCTTGTTTGCCGCCGAAATATTGAATATTTGCACGGCTGCTTCAAAACGTTCCTGCCACTCGGACCATGGTCCATTGTCCGGTGTGAACGCTTCCATACTCGAACTCCCCGTTATTGCGCTTGCCATTTTGCTTGACTCTTGCACAACAACTTTATCTTCCATGAAAATTTACAACTTGTTGCATTGCACGCAACAATGTTCGTTATCGAATATGACTGCCACACGTGCTTGCAAGTTCGTGCGCACAACACTTCCCACGACACAAAATAATCCTCGTCGCCAACTGCTGTGTATGTAGGTAGCCAATGTAGGCTCGTGGGTATGGAAGAGACGTGGGAATCGTCTTTAGGAAGAAATGAGGCACAGGTATAGCTTAACACCATAACAACTATATCTATATTGCTGAGCCGTTACATACGTCTGGATTGTACGGTGGTCCAGAACGTTCTCTGTCGAGTCGGGGAGAAGCCGGTAGCATCTTCCCGTAACGGTACGGTCACGTGGCTCTGCGCGCATGCAGTGCCACCGCGTTGAGCCAATCGTAGGGCTCCGCTAATCGCAGACTGCTCGGACAGTCTGCGCGCTCGCAGCTGTAATGGCGCGTTTACATGAACGCTGCCCAACAATCTCGTTGCGCAAGGTACGAGCTTCTTCGATGGTATTCGCACCAGTTAACAAATCATCGACATATAAATGCGTCTTGATTACTCGGGCCGCGTTACAATATGTGTTACACTCGTCATCAGCGAGTTTTTGAATCGTGCGTATGGCTAGAAAAGGTGAAGATGATACCCCGAACGTAAGTGTATTAAGTTGTAAGGTTTGTATTTGATCGTTTTGACGCCAAAGTATACGTTGATATATCCTATCATCCTCGTGTAACAATATCTGCCGATACATTTTTTCTATGTCAGCGGTAAGGACATATTTATATGTACGGAATTGAATCAAGTGAGTAAACAACGAGTCTTGGATGGTCGGTCCTACCATGAGCAGGTCATTCAACGAAACACCGTTATTCGCTTTCGCCGATGCGTCAAAAACTACACGGACCTTGGTGGTGTTGCTCGAAGCTTTAATTACTGGATGGTGTGGCATGTAAAATCCACTATGCAAAGAATCATGTATCAAGGTCATTTGCTTTAAATCTACGTATTCCTGTAGTACTTGTGAGTAAGCCGTCTTCAAAGTCAGATCTGAGTTAAGTCGTCGTTCGAGGGAATTTAAGCGCTTGAGAGCCGCGGTTCGTGAATCTCCGAGGTGCCGATCGCGCTCGCGAAAGGGCAATCGTACGATATATCGTCCGCTAGGATGACGTGTTACGTGTTTTGTGTAATGAGCTTCGCACTCGAGTTCTTCAATGGATTTCAATGTTCCAACGGATACTTCCTCGATTTTCCAGAATTGCGCGATTTGCTGTTCTAAGTTAGTTAATCGACACATTACCTTATTTGAACGGTTCGGTGTAGTCACCCCGCCTGCGACGATCCAACCCAGACGAGTTTTTTGTAAATATAAATCATTAGTTATTGTAGACAAATCGATTTGGCCGATGGAGAATAATGATAACGTCGAGCCAGCACCAATCAAAAGATCAATCGGTCGTGGTAAATGAAACTCGGAGTCGGCTAATTTAATGTTTGGCGGTATATTTATGATTTCTCGGGAAAACACCTCCGACGGAACTAAATCAGCGATCATTGGAACCAATAAACATGGCAGGCGTTTACGAAAACCGTTGTATAGAGATTGAATCGTGACATGCCCGGTGCCCTTTGATGTGGTGTTTATTGCATTGATAGCGCCGATTTGTATGGCGCATGGACTTACAGGAAGTTTTAAACGTTTCATGAAATTTTCGGAAATAAAATTGGTGGAAGCGCACGTGTCCAATAAGGCTCTCCCTTTAATTAGATTGTGATCACGATCCTGCACAAGAACAATCGCGGTTGTCATTAATTGTGGAGTGAAGTCTGGTGAAATTATAGCCAAGCATGTCGTTATACACTCCCTTTCTGTCACTAGTCATTCACTTGGCGCGTCTTTATTGTCAGTCGTGATGGCCGTTGCAGATGCGGCTGCGCTTTTATTTAAATGTAAAAGTGTATTGTGACGTTTGTGGCAAACGGTGCAAGTAGAGTAATTACAGGCTTTACCTAAATGTGAGCGTAGACAATTGTAACAAAGTCTCGCGTTCTTTACGAATTCGATGCGTTTAGGTACGGTCATCTGTTTGAATTTCTCGCATTTGAATAATGGATGCTGTTTAGTTTTGCACGCCTTACAATTATCGAACGTATTGATCATGAATGTTTTATTCAGAATTTTCCCCTTCTTTGCCGGAGGAGAAAGCTTATCGTCATCTTGTTTAACCGATCCCGAACGTGTGCGCTTAGATAATCGTACCGCTGTTCTA